TGGCCCCTGTAGGGCTATGGGTCAGTGAGGGGCATCATGTCTCATAGTGGGGCCGGCCATGTGGTCCTCTCTCTGGACTGGCTGCTCTAATGGGGACCATCGTCCTTAAGGCCTGGCGGGCCAGGATGTGCTCCACTCTCTCCTCCTCCCCCTTCATCTGCTTGCGTGTGCTCTGATCAGATAGGTCCCTCTCCTGGAGCTGCAGATTCAATGCTGTCCTTTGAAATAAATTCTTCTGGAGGGAGGGGACATTATGTGAGTTTTAAGACACATGAGAGAGACCTGAGGACACACGGGGAAGGTCCGTCCCCGCCAATGTGAAGACGAGCCCGTGGCCGGTGCGGCATGAACGTGCTGGGCCGCCTGGCGATGTCTCCGTCGCTCAGACAGTGCCATGAGCGTGGTCTGGAGCGTGAATGTAGGAAGCTGCCTGGATCCTACTTACTGACCTGCGTGCCTCTTCATTGTGTCTGTTGATCGTGGACTGTGGCCCATGCCCTCTTGTTGTTTGAAGATCCAGGCTCCCCCACAAAACAGTCTGTGGGAGGTAATCTGCCGAGCCCCGTGGAAGAGGCAGGAGCGAAGTGTCTCGCTGCGTTGGGTCTGAGAGCAGTGATTGTGTGTGAGCCTCGGGGAGAGCCTGGGACATGGTCACTCAAGGACTCACCCAGGTTCTGTGTCTTGGAGTCAGTTTCTCCAGCAGTAGGTCACTGCTGAAGTTGAGGGAGCTGGGGGCGGGGCAGGAGCAGTGTTTGGCTAGAACACCCTCAGCCAGGGGAAGGCCCAGGGCCAAGTGGAACAGCTGGCACGGTAGCTTCATGGAGCAGAGGTGGCCCCCGGGAATTGAGAGCAATGGAAGGGCTGAGAAGAGTGGGAACAAGCAGCTTCCCCATAGGGAGACCCCAGAGAGGTAGCCCTCACTCAGCCAGCAGTTAGCAGGAGGGACTTGGAGTCCCCCAGGGCACTGGGCCAGCTGCTGACGGTTAACCACGGAGTTGGGCCTGCCTGCACGCGAGTGCCATGGTGTCTGATTCTGCACCCAACCAAGCCCGTGCCTATGGAGATGGGTGGCTCAACCCCTAGTGAGCCGGCATGTAGGACAGAGTGGAGCTCCCTGGGGCTTCCCGAGACTTTACCTCACACTTGACTCACTGACCTTCTGGTGAGCAGTGAGGCACTTAGTCCCTGAGCCACCAAGAGCCCCACAGCGCGAGGCGTCGCCCTCTGCTGGCGTTCTGGAGAGCTGGACAAGGGACTGCCGGCCGAGGCAAGGCGAGCACGCGTGCTCAGCCTCCAGCTGACTGCAGGCCTTTTCAAGGAAGTGGTTTTGATTTGGTTTTACATTCCTGTTCACGTATTTCAAATCGCCCAGTGCGTCGGAGAGCAGACAGGCAACAGGCAGGTCAGCACATCCTGGCTGTCATTTGGGTGATGCTGTGGAGCTGGGCAGCAGCCGGCAAGACATCTTTGGGGGGTCCGCAGCCCCCAGTTCCACACCCTGGTCACAAACCCCCGCCCTTGCCGTTCGCTCCTCGTCTCTGTAAACCGTGTAAACCGCCGCTGTGCTGTAAGACAACTCCCGCGCCTCCTCTCTGCCTGTCACTGTCAGCGCGCCTCTGCCGCTCGCTGAGTCCCACGTGCAAGGACAGACGGGAATGGGGGGCTGTCGGAATCTCAGTGCTGTCTTTCAGGTTCTCATGCACAGTGGATCTTGAATCAGACCATTCAGAGCTGTTAGGCAAAGCAGCTTAGAGTCCTGGCTCCCTTCTTGTAGGAAGGTTTGCTTCAATAACCCACCGCAGCCTGGCCTGAAGCTGAGGGCCCGCACAGCTGAGCAGACGAGCACAGCCGCTCTGGCTCGAGAACGTGGAGTTGGGCTTCAGGTCACCAACAGGGTCTGCACCAAGTCTCTGGGGCAGTACAGAAGTGGCCTTCTCTCGCCTCTCCTTGGTGCCCCGCCTCCAGGCCACACAAGGTCATATTCATATAAAACCCTCTACCTTAACCCTGGAGGGGACATAGAGTAATAACGTCAAGGATGCTTCCACCAGAGAACTCGGTAACGAATGCAGGGAGAACGTGGCAGTTCATGTTTTTTGTTTATAGACTTTTGTCCCTGGTGAAAAAATACTGAATGGGTTTGATTATTGCAGACTGGTACCTTTCTAAACTTAGTGGGGACGTGAGCTCCCGATGTGAGGTGCTGGCGCGTGCAGCTATCACTGCACAGTTGGTGGTGGGAGCCCCACAGCCCCTGTGGGCACGAAGAGGCCTGGCCTTCTGCCCAGGTAAAGAGGGCAGGCCTGCCCTGTGCTCTGGGTCCTTGGGAGCCGAGCCAGCTTGACATGCAAGAAGTGAAAACTCTGAGTAACAGGTCATTGAGATGGGGACTTGGCCACCACCTCCCCCTCTTCTAAAAGTCTCTGGAACCTACTTTGGAAATCTTAACCTGGCATAGAATAACTTCTGAAATCATCGCTTGGAGATGAACCAGCTGTGTCAGAAACATCTCCTGGAGGAGAACTTTCCAGTAAAATTAAGAATTGTTAACATCTGCACCAGTGATCAAGTGACAAACCCACTGCAGAGTTCACTGAATGGGGGGCGCGGGGGCTCAGTTTCCCCCATGCCTGTGCTGACATGGTCTTTTCTGCCTAAAAAAAGTGGCTGTCTCCTTATCCAAGGGGTCAAACTTTGTCTCTCACCTTTGAGGTGCATGGAGTGGTTTCTTCTCTCAGTTAAAGTGGAAAAGTTGACATTCTGTAACTTCCTGGAAGTGTCCAGGATCTCGGAGCTAGCTATTCAGGTTCAGGTCTGGAGCGCTTGTCTCTTGGACATTTTCTGTGATTTATAAAGAAGGAGTCAGGCTGGCTTTCTAAAAGATGTGGTTGTAAAATGTCTGGGCAGTTACCACCACTCTGCTAACTTTCCCTTCCCTGGTTCCTGTTTGTCCGTCTGTCAGTCGTTTGATGGATCTGCCTGTCTCATCCTTGCGGTTTGCTGCACCTTCTTGGATGTGAACACTACAGTTGGCCATCACAATTTATAGTGTTTTGGGCCATTATACTTTCAAATATGTTTTTCGCTCTCCTGGAAATCTCATTACCAATAGATCAGTGGGCTGGAGGAGTCCCATTACAGGTTGCTTATCGTGAGCTGCCACCGAGTCTGCTCCGACCCCAGCGACCCTGCTCACCCTCACCCTTGTTCTAGGCCCAGGCCCTTTGTTGCAGGCACTGCTGGGTCCATCTCATTGAGGCCTTTCTCCTCCTCTCTGCCCGAGCACTTTCTAGAGACTGGTCTCTCCTGACAACGTCCAACATCTGTAAGCGGAAACCGGGCCATCTTGCCTTAAGGAGCACTCTCACCGTAACTCTCCCAACACAAGTTGATTGGTGACCTTAAAGGTCCTGTTACATGTAGGTCGGTGGGTGTGACAAGTGGGTCGGGACTGGACATTTGCTCATTTCAAGTCCTTCCTCTGTCCCTCCGAGCGCCAGTCTCACAGATTCCGGCCTCCACTGCCTTGAATCTGCTGAGCCACCCAGGGAATACTTGTACGCCAGCGACTGGGTTTTCCAACTCTAGAATTTCCACTTGGTTTTTGTTTCTTAATCTCTGTCTCCTTGAGAATCTCTCTGTGTTGATTTCCAGTTAAATCGTTAATTTTGAAAATAGATTGTCGTTTAAATTTTTGAACATTTTCTTAGCAGCTGCTTGGTCTGCTGCTCTGTGTCTGTGTGCAAGTCCCACATCTGGGGCCGCCCCACCTTCCACTTGCAGCTGCTGTAGGAAGACAGGAAGTGTGGTTAATGGGCTCTGGCTGGTGTCCGGCGGGGGTGGGGGGGTGCAAGGACAGGGGTCAGAATCGTGGGGGGGGGTGCGAGGACAGCGATGGCGGGTGTTATTTCTTGGGCTCATTGGCACTCTCGGTGATGCTTTGTGTGCTGTGGGCTAAGCTCAAGGCACATCACTGTCCAGGCTTCGTTGTGGTTGCTCTCAAATTTGGGGGCAGCACCTTGGGGTGCCTGAAAAAACAACGAAACACGGCTGTTCTCAATTTTCACTTTAAGCAACCTAAAAAAACAGAAGGGGGAACATTATAATCCCAGATCACTTTCCATGAGTTCTAAATTCAAATCGGCAAGTTTGTAACTTGTGCTGCCCAGGGCACTATGCCCTACAGGTCGGGCCCCTTGTGAACTGCTTCTCTTTCACTGGCCCCAGTGTTGGCAAGTCCCTCCGGCGCACACAGGGCGTCTGGGTTGGAGTGTTGGGAGTGTGTTGTGGGTGATGGGCATCGTGGTGCGTGTGTCTCCTGCAGGTCGCTTTGAAGAGGAGTTCATCAAGATGCGCATGGAGAGACTGCAGGCCTGGATGACGCGGATGTGCAGGCACCCGGTGATCTCAGAGAGCGAGGTCTTCCAGCAGTTCCTCAACTTCCGGGACGAAAAGGTGGGATGGGCGATGGTGGTGGTGGTGGAGGTGGTAGTCATCATCGTCGTCGTTGGGTCTCAGGGAGCTGCCCTCTCATTTCCTCCAAAGGCAGTGAGGAGACCAGCCTAGTCGTGGTGTGTGAATCGGGGTGTAGGGAAGAACTGCCTGCCCTGAAGGCTCCCCAGAAACATGTTTGTTTGTGTTGCTCTAGTTGTTTTACAAGCTTTGAAGACTAGAGTAGATCCCTAGGTGTGCAGAGTGAGGTGAGGGGCAGAATGACCGCACTTCGTCCTACAGTATTGAGCCCCGTGCTGAGAAGAGTGGGCCTGGCTGCCGTCTCCATTGGGAGCCAGTGTAGGTGCTGGTCTCTCTGCCCACCTTCATGGGCACTTATCTGCCTATGGTCACCTACTCTTTCATAAAACCAAGAGGAAATACCTGCTTGACAATGCGTCATTCTCTGCTTGGGGAGAGCAAAGCCTTTCTTCTGCTTGCTCTTATGGTTTTTTGTTTTGTAAAGGTATTCTCTCCATAATCTCTCTCCTTTCGTTAGAAATAGCAATTCTTGTAGAAAACACACTGGAGGGCAAAAGCAGGAGTTGGCTCGGGAGCCGTCGGCAGATTGTAAATCTGTGTGACCTGGGAACCGTGGGGTTGTTTGGGACCTGACTCACGCCCTAGAACACTGTAGGTGCCTCGTTGAAACATTCAGACGGAGACTCACTGGCAGGATGTCTGGGTGGTCCTGCCGTCCTGATCAAAGAAAACATCCCTAGAAACCACTTGAACTATGAGATGTGTGCGTGGATGCTGATAGACAGACGTCTGCCCACCAGGGCATGTGCTCCTTGGGGCTTGTTACCCGGCCTTCTGAGTATTGTCTGACCATTGAGGGGGTCAGAAACCTTCAGGCTTCAGGCTCTTTGGGGACACTGGTTACCAAGAGGCCTTCAGCAAGGGTGACTTGAGTTGACTTGCCAAGGGTTCGATTTAGAAAATATTTCTCAAGGCCATATTTTGTGCAGAGTGGGATTTCAGAATATGAGTAAATCTAGACTCACCTCCCCTCTTCCTCCCCCCATAACTGTCCTTCAGATGTTGAAGAGCCCCCTGTTGATGCTTCATTGATGTAAGCCTTCATAGAGACTGCTTATGGTTAATTCTGTTAGGTGGGTTATTGGTGGTGTGGTCCTGTTTTAAAACCGTGACCCTGTATGTTAAAGACACATAATGAAGTATTTATAGACAAAGTGAAATTTCTTTTAAAATAACCCTACCCACCCACCCTCCCACCTACCTCCCCCAAATCTGGAAGATAGGAAAATCATAAAAGAACATTGGCCATTGCTGATCACTGTGACTGCTGAGCCTGTAAGCATAGCTCAGACTCTGCTCTCCCCTTTAGCTTGCATCGGAAGGTTCCTATTGTAGAAACTTGTTGTAAAGATCCTTCCAGGTGGTGAACAGCACTAACCTAACCGGGAACAGCAAGGCACTGAGCTGCTGGAAAAGAACATAGGAGTCTCTTCATGCAATCGGAGTAGGGGGGTTCTGGAGCACACACAAGCAGGAGCTTTGACCATGGGTGTTGCCAAAGGCCTGCACATGACCACCAAGTTATAAAAGCGGAGTTGGTCACCATTGCAATCCAGGAAATGCAAATGAAAACTACTGCTCACCGCAGGGTGAGCTGAGGCCACCAGGTGTGAGCCACCTTGGAAACAGCTGCTGGCTCGCCCCCTGCTGGTGGGAGTATGGAGAACCACTCCTGACCCAGCTCTCCCACGCCAGGGGGGTCGCTGGCAGACGTGTATGTGTGCACCCTGAGGCAGGTGCCCTCTTGGCGGGGAGCCGGGCTTCCTGTCTGTAGTGGACTGAGGGAGATGGATGGATGATTGAATGAATGAATGAGTCTGGAGGCTGTGTAGCATTGAAAAGGAAGGAACTGTAGCCACACACTCTGGACTGAGCTCCGAAGGTGGAGCAGAAGAAGCCGTGCCCTCACGGGCGGCATTAAAGAATGCATACTGTACAGCTGGCTCCACGTGCGAAATGCCAAAGCACCCTGCCGCGGGGTTAGGGCGCATGTGCAGGTGGGTGGTTAGAGCTGACAGGAAGGCCGTAAGCGGTTCCCACTGACTACTAGTGGAAGAAGAATGACTCCCCTTCTGGGGAGGGATAGAGGTGGTGTTGGGTGGGCAGGTCCTGGGGGACTTCTCTCTCTTGGCCTCGATGGTTAGTACACACACACTCATACCAGGGGCTTCAGAGAGCTCATTAAAAACTCCATGAACATTTCATTCCACTTTTCCACGACCTTGTTGAATTCATGCCCCACCCCGCCCCCTTATGTGTGTTTTCCTTAAAGAGAGCAGCAACACTGCTGTGGGGTCAGTGTACGGCAGAGCGGGGCTGCCTCAGTCCCTGCGGCTGCAACCTTTATGGACGCAGATGGCTTCGTCTTCCTCCTACAGAGCAGCCAGTGGGTCCAAACCAAAGACCTGTCAGTTAGTTGCCAAGGGCTTAACCATTGCACCACCAGCGCTCCTTGGTAGTGTTTAGAGCGGGACATCATTCTTTCTCCCATCCCCACCATAATGTTGTTTCCCGTCATGCATTTTTAAAAGCCTTTCATATGTTGAGGAAACCCATCTGGAAGTGCAACCACTCACCCCTCCTCAAGGCCTGCCTTGGGAGGACGTGTGTGTGACAGAGAGAACCTTCTGCTCTCACTGGAAGCCATGAGCCTTTGCAGGGTGGTGGGGAGACATGCGTGGGGTCCCTTCTCTGCAGCCAGGACTCTGTGTGTGTGTGTGTGTGTGTGTGTGTGTGTGTGTGTGTGTGTGTGTGTGTGTGTGTCTGTGCCGGGGTGCTGCTGCCTGGGCTGGCCAGAGAGCCTAGGCTGAGAGGGGACTCTGAGAGGCCTTCACACTCCTTCTCTTCCTTCCAGGAGTGGAAAACGGGGAAGAGAAAGGCAGAAAAAGATGAGCTGGTGGGAGTGATGATCTTTTCCACCGTGGAGCCAGAGGCGCCTGACCTGGACCTACTGGAAATGTAAGCGAGGCCACTGTAGGCGGGCGCCTTTGGGTCTGACTGGGTCAGCCACCGAGTTCCCTGCTGGAGTTCGGGGGGTTTCCTGGGGGCTGTAGAATAAGCAGGGCTTGTCGTCAGACTGTGCAGAAGGACTGTCCCCACCAGAGCAGGAAACTGCGATCAGCTTCCCTCTAAGTCAGTGGCTTCTTAGGGCACAAGGTGATGCGGCATAGCACTTCCAACAAGGCCCTGAGAAGCAAGGTGAGATGCGGCCCTTGGACACCACTAATGGTGAAGCAGAAACCCCGCTGGGTGCTGCCTGGGGGAAGCAACCCCCAACCTGCATCTCCTATATTTTTAAGTCTTATGATCGTTAAATGTAGGCTCAGTGGGACCCTGATAGATTAGGAATTGGGCTGCAAAGTCAGCCATTCTAAACCACCAGCCAATCCACGGTGAAAGGTGGGGGCTTTCTACTCCTCTAAGGACTTCCGGTCTCAGAAACCCACAGGGACAGATCCATGCTGTCCTGTAGGCGGTCTGTGATTCGGAATCGACTCAGTGGCAGTGAGCTTTTGAATTCGGAGTCAGTTGCAAATTTGGAGTGATTCCTCTTCTGTGTAAAGACTAATGACGAAGCTTGGCTTTAGTTTTACGAAGCTTATCCCCCCCTTACCGTAAAATCATTGCTTTATGTACCAATGTTGTTACCAGAAGCATGGACAAGGTGGGGCGGGGAAAAACACACACACCTGGAAAGGAAACCAGCTGGTGTGTCCTCTCTCGGTCCAGTCCCTCAAGAGAGACCCTTTGCCTACACACAGCACTGTGCTCACGGTCTCAGCACGGCTCCCTCCCTCCTCCGGCACTTGCTCCAACAGTCTTGCCCGGCCACTTCATGTGCTCTGAGTGCCCAGGCTGTGCTTGGGGATTCTGTACAGAACTCTGAGCGGACAGCCACCACGAGCATGTGTGTGACAGCACCGCCCGAGAAAGGAGTGCCCTGAGGAAGAGCCTTACTAATCGGGCTTTCCTTTTCTCTAGAAAATGCCAGTTAAAATCCACAAGCAGTTAGAAAGGGGCCCAGTTCTCTTGAACAGCCGATGTAGGCCTATTCTGAAGACCCATGTTCTGCAAGGGTCGTTGTTGAAATGTAAGGGTGGGAGTGGGAGTGTCGCCCAGCCACGCAGATACTCAAAGGTTTGGTGGTAGCAGGTCCTGGCCGTGGCCTCTGGGTGAGTGACCCGTGACTCTGCCCTTGCCCACAGAGAGCAAAAGTGTGATGCCGTCAGCAAGTTCACCAAGGCCATGGATGACGGCGTGAAGGAGCTGCTGACAGTGGGCCAGGAGCACTGGAAGCGCTGCACAGGACGTAAGTGGGTCCCTGCTGCAGGCTCAGCCGCGCTGGGAGGGAGCGCCCGCTGAAAACAGGAGTGATTGCCATCCTGAAACTGTCGGACCTCACCCCCCAGCCCCCATAGTCACAGAAACCCGCCTCTCACGTGTCCCCAGCCCCTGAGGGCTTCGTCGTCGGTGGAGAGTTGAGTCCTTGCTGGAGGAGTGCTGCATCCATTCCAATCTCGTGCCTTTGCTTTGTCATCTTCAGTCCTTTGGGAAGATAGGTGTTAGGCAAAAGCCATTTCTTAGGGGAAAGCCAGCATCAACAATGGTGGAGCATAGGGGTGGCAGGCTGCCCGCCCCACCTCTAGAGTCAGCCCATTGCTCCAGACCCTGAAGGATCACCACACAAAAACCTTACTGTCAGCCAGATGCTTGATCGCCGTGGTTTTTGAACCTGGTTGTGTCTTAAGTCATCTGGAGAGCTTACGAACAGCTGGGAAGGCTAGTGTGGAAGCTGCAGAGAATGGTGATTTGAATGGGCCGGGTGGGGGTGGGGGATGTCCAGACATCAGTACTGAAACCCAGCCTCCGGATGAGCGACGTCTGTCAGATATGGGCCCCGAATACCACATAAGGAGACAAGAGGAGGGCAAGGCTCGTTCTCTCTCTCTTTCTTCTCTCTCTCTCCCCCCTCCCCATTGCCCTCCCTCCCTCCCTCCATGTAAAAGAGAATGAAAGCCCGATGGTGCCCAGCCCTCCTCCTGGTGGGTTGACTCAGCAGTACCTGGGGCACTGTTGACAGCCTCCAGGCTTTCTCTTCCCTCGGTGTCCGTGCGGTTTCTTTGGAAAGCCTCAGAAGAGCGGAGGGCACCAGAGGCAAACAAAGGGCTTAAGCTAAAGTGGCCCTTCTCTGGGCAGGGTTTCACAAAGCCCATGGGGTTTTAGCAGGAGGCGGACCTTTGCAGACTGCTTGCCCAGAGGAGAGAAGGCAGCCCTCAGCCAGCTCGGGAAACCTTTGCTGTAGTTGCAGCGAGGTGCCCATGCCCAGCGGGACAGAACACAGCCGGGCTGCCCCCCACCCGCCGCCCCCGTCATTTCAGCCGCATGTGCAAGCGCGGCGGGAGCCTGAGTGAGGACGTAAGCAGCATGGTCACACGAATGTGGTGGTGAACAGCTCCCACCAGCCATGGAAACGTCACCTGTCTCTCTTTCCTATCAACAACTTTTTTATTGTGAATTAGGTGGGAGTTTGCATTTCAGATCATCAGATTTGTGTCCCACAGTTTGAACTGACTCAGTAAAATCCCCCAGTAGCTTAGCCTACCCCCATTTCTCTGACTTCTCTCCCTCCTGGGGGTCACTAGCTTCCCCTCCCCCCAGGTCGACACCCGTCAGCGAGCCCGTGCCTTCTAGTCCCTCCTCACCTCCCACGTGGTTGCTCCTGAGTTGCTCCCTTTGGAATGAAAGTCGCCGTCGTCTTGGTTTTTGATCTTGATAATGGTGGTCTCAATACAGTGCTCGTGCTTTGGGGACTGACTGCAATGGGGGGCTGCAGTCGTCACGCGGTCATTTTTGCATTGAGATATTACCACAAGACTGGACTACTTGAAATGGCTTCAGAGTCTGATGACCAGAGGGGTCACCTTTCCCTGCCCAGAGGTCCGTAACAGCCTCCCCGTCCGTTTCTCTTCCAGCGCTGCCCAAGGAGTACCAGAAGATCGGCAAGGCGCTGCAGAGCTTAGCCACGGTGTTCCGCTCCAGCGGCTACCAAGGTCTGTCTTCGACCCACCTGCCCACTCACCCACAAGCCTGATTATGGAAGGCAGCCAGGTCGCTGCTCCCAGCTTCACCCATTGCTTTTGACGCAGAGCAGAGGGTGTCTGTGATGTGTGTGATCTTGCAAGCTCGCTGGCCGTTCTGTTCTGCCCCCTCATATTGAGTGCTTTTGTATCGTTGTCAGAGTAGTTGTGGTAGGCAGCAGTCTCCTCTCGCTTTACACGCTGCCACACGCTGCGGCGTCACAGCTGCCAGGGCTTTGACAGGGCAGTCTCCGGCTTCCTTGAACATTCACATAGCACCACCGTGAGCACAAGGGAGCAGCTGCCGCTGAGCACTTCAGTCTGTGTTGGCGCTGTGGCTCGGGTAAGAGGTAAAACAGCTCGCCAGGTGGGTGGGTGGCCCCAGGTTGAGGATCTGCTATCACTTACAAAGCATAGACCCACTCCTCACTTTGTGCTGTGGGGGAGTTCCAGAGAGACGAGGTCATGATTCGGAAACTGACACTACGTGAGGATGGGTACATCATTACATAACTGCCAACCCACTGAGAATCAGGACTTGGCCACGTTGACACATAACCTTAACCATGGCTTCCACCATTACTCTCACCTCGCACCTTTTGCACACATTAATCACATCATAGGTTTTTACGCGGGTCGTAACTGGGAAATATAGGATAACAAGACAGGAGGGTGGGGAGTAGACGTAGAGGATTAGTACTTTGAGCAAAGTACTCCTGACTCCCAGAGAAGGTAGGTCTCCTCTGTAAGTGTATGTGTCTGAATGTTTTAAGGCGCCCTAAGAAGCCACTCACCAAAAGGTGAGAGTTCTGGGGTGGGGGTCACCGATCTGACTAATGTAAAGTGGGGTTCAGGGGCGGTATCCTATAAATTTAAGAAAACATCAACAGTGTTATGGATTGAATGGTATTTCCCCTAAAAACCTGTGTTGGGATCCTGACCCCCAATACCAGTGCTGTAGTCCTAAATGGGAACAGGGTTGTCTCTGTGACAGTAGAGAGGTGTGAGCACTCTAGGGCATGTCTTCAATCGGAGAGCAGAGTGGGTGCAAACTCGAGGAGAGAAGCAGGGAAGCCACAACAAGGGCCTTTCTCCAGAGCAGGAGAGAGAAGGAACCGTCCCTGGAGATGGAGTTCTCCCCGGAGGCATTTCTGTGGCTCCAGCACGAGAGAGCTCACAGACCAGCTCTGTGCCAAGCAGGCCTTCTCCAGATCCTGATTCAAGAGCCAGCCTCTGGGACGTCGGGGTTACTTCACACGAGCTGACCCCTGTATGTTAGCAATGACTGTCCTGCACGTGTGCGTTCAGTCAGTTGTCTAGAGAAACAATCCTGTGACACACTCATGTGTATTGGAAAGAGCTTTATATCCAGAAGAATTATATATGAAGAAGGCATCCCAACTCAACTCCATAAGTCCAGTACTAATCCTGAGTCCCTCTTCAGACCCATGGAGCCACCTGCAACAGTGCAGAACGCACAAAGACCCAGGCCCGTGTGGATCCAAGTCTGTGGACACATGGCGAGACCCCAGCAGCTCTCAGGGTCGGCTTGCAGCAGAGACCCAGGAGGCAAGGCGGTGGGGCGGAGGGACTTCCAGTTGCCTGTGGTTGTAAGAATGAGGCCTCATCTGGTGGTGACCTGACTGACAGGGTGGACTCCACCCCTACACTTTGATCCACCTTCAGGTTGACACAAAATCATCTCACTACCACAGCGTGATAGTGATCTTGTCTCGGTTTTAAGAGCTCTTTACGACAAGAATCTGGAATACGAACTCCTGCTAATGTAGATCTGTCTTATATCCAGTGAAAGGGGTGTGGCTATTTGGGAAGCTGGGTGATCAGTCCAGGGGGATCCTATCTAGTGTCAAAAATGTTGGAAATTCTCTGCAATTGAAATTTTTATTAAAAGAAGTGAAAATTAGATATTTTAGCTTAAAACCACTGATACAAGTGTCCATATTTTCAGGTGAAACAGATCTCAATGATGCAATAACAGAAGCTGGGAAGACTTATGAAGAAATTGCCAATCTTGTGGCAGAACAGGTACTAACATAATCAATTTTAGTTAATATTGTGTGCCTGATAGTCCACTAATTTAATTTAGAGTGTAAGGGAAGCTTCCCAAATGGACAGCTTCTTCTTTTCTTATGCATCGTTGTTGGTTTCATGATAGTGTTCCTTAGGTTAAGCTAGAGTGGGTAGATAAGTTTATCGCTGAGAAATCTAGATGAACCTCGATGTCTTTGGTCCTATCTGAGCCACTGTCATGCGTGGAACTGTGTCACCAGAAATGTGCGCCACGATTCCGGGCTGCTGTGATTATTCTCCATCCTGGCCTAGCTGTTAATGTGACAGGATTTAGAGTATGTTCATGATGAGTGGGTTATGTTTGGTATGCTAATGAGGCAGATTAGGGTGGGATGCAACATCCCTACTCAGGTGACCCCTAGCCCACTTTAAGGGTAGTTTCCCGAGGTAGGGCCTGCATTACCTTCTTCATACAAGAGAGGAGGGGGAAGAGTGCGTACAAGAAAAGGACTTCACCACTGAGAACAAAGAGTCAGGACCTGGGCCCCCTGTGCTGAGGACCTCCTATACCCGTGGGAAGATTGATGCCAGCACACACGGAGCTTTCCAGACCCACCAGTGTTAGGAGGAGACAAGGACCTTCCTCTGGAGCCAGAGGAAAGACGCAGTCTTCTAGCCTCTTTGCAACACGTCATTCAGGGCACCCCGACTCCTCGCTTAACGACAGGCCAGGTTGTTATTGAAAATCAGCATTCCATGTAGTGGGGAATGACCACGTCTGATCACAAAATGTTAGATGACTACATCAATATGTAACTGCCAAGTCACATCATTGCATAGCTGCCAAGGAGCTCTGGTGGCATAGTAGGATACTCACTGGGCTGCAAACCCACTGACCGCTCCAAAGGAGAAAGATGAGGCTGGCTGTTTTTGGAAAGATTTATAGCCTCAGTAACCCTAGGGCAGGGGTCCTCAAACTTTTTAAACAGATGGCCAGTTCACTGTCCCTCAAGAGTCGTTGGAGGGCCGGACTATAGTTTTAAAAAAAACTATGAACAAATTCCTATGCACACTGCACATATCTTATTTTGAAGTAAAAAAAGCAAATGGGGCAAAAACACCCAGCAGGCAGGATAAATGTCCTCGGCGGGCCATAGTTTGAGGACCCCTGCCCTAGGGAATGGTTCTTCTGCACTGTAGGGTCACCATGAGTCAGAACCCACCCATGAAAGTGGGTTTGGGTTTGGGGTTTCTAACTACCAAACCACTGGGGATCTTGGCCCAGCCACACTTACACTTAACCATCACCTGGGACCTCCGCATTCATTGCCAGCAAGATGTCTGTCTTGCCCAAAACATTCAGATTGTAGATGCTTTCCTATTGTAAGTGTGAAGTGCTGGACAATGAGATAGTGCCTAAGTGAGGAGTAGATATTTAATAGGCTGTGAAGATGCCCTGGTAGTGTAGCGGGTTACATGTTGGGTTGCTAACCTCAGGGTCAGCAGTTTGAAACCACCAGTCGTTCCTTGGGAGAAAAATGAGGCTTTCTAGTCCCATAAACATTTACACCTTTGAAATCTGCAGGGACAGTTCTACTTTGCCCCATAGAGTCACCATGCATTGAAATGGACTGGGGTGAGTGGCACAGTAGTTTGGGGTGTCTGATCTCTAAGGAGAACTTGCTTGAACATTAACCCTCAATAACGATGTGACACAAGGAGGAGTTGCTTCGGCTCAATGGCCATGTGGCCCAGAGAGAGGCCAGAGTTGGATTTCTTCCTCTTAGGTTTTCTGGGTTGCTCTGTTTATAACCAACCGTGTCTCCGTCTAGCCAAAGAAGGACCTCCACTTCCTGATGGAGTGCAATCACGAGTACAAGGGCTTCCTCGGCTGCTTCCCCGACATCATCGGTGCTCACAAGGTAACTTACAGATGCACCAAGGGAGCCGGTTCACCACTCCCTCCCTCCCTCCCTCCCTCCACTCCACTCCACTCTGCAATGGGAGGGGAAGGCTCTCTGGAGCCAGACCAGTACCACTTGGAATATTCTAGTGTTCGTGAAATTCATAGCATGCATGGCTCTATATGCAGTGGTTCTCTACCTTCCTCATGCCACGACCCTTTCAGACAGTTCCTCGTGGTGGTGACCCCCCCTGATCACAAAATTATTTTTGTTGCTACTTCATCACTGTCATTTTGCTACTGTTACGAATCGGGCGACCCCTCTGAAAGGGTCGTTCGACCCCCAAAGGGGTCACGACCCACAAATTCAGAACTGCTGCTCTATGGGTAGTTTTCTTTTCATTCTGTGTGTGTGTGTGTGTGTGTGTGTGTGTGTGTATAACTTGGTGGGGAATTAAAAAATAATGAGAATATTCTTTTATGCCTATAATTATTCAGATAATAACAATCACTGTGATCTTTGAGATCCAAGTCAAGCAGTTAGACCCTTTCCATCTGTCTTGGCAGGTTCATGCCCTGGCCTTGAACCGAGTAGGGGCTTCTCACCACTGCAGTGGTCACTATTGGCTCTGTGTTTAATGATACTCTTGAAAAAGAAACTCATTCTCGTGACAAAGGTTTCACACAAGAAGAAAGCGGGTTTGAGACATCCTCGCTTTGGATTGGGTTGAATTTTTCTGTTCCAGTTTTAACACCTGTATTTTACTCCAGAGCTCTGGATGTTCTGACATCTAGCGCTCTGGTGGATTAGGGTTTCCTTGACCTGAGTAACCAGATCTCTACTGGGACGGTCTGTCAAGGGACCAGTCCCAACAGGCGGCCATGGTGGCCTTTAGCTGTACCATGTAAGTACCACGGAGGGTTGCCCGGTGATTGAGGAGCTCTGAACAGCTTTGGCAAACTTGGTCATAGCTCGGGACAGTTAGTAGGATTCCATGCCAGCACCCCACTTTCTCATGGTGAAGGGCTGCTCTGCAGACAGCTCTGACTACTGAGCAGGCAGGTGATGCTGGGGCGAGCTCTTGGGAGCCACAAGGCTCCCTGTGAGAGAGCAGGCTTGCTGCTCCCATAAGGATCTGACGGGAAGTCCTGGAAATCCCCAGGGGCAGTTACGCCCTGTCCTAGTGGGTTGCTGTAAGTCAGAATCGACTCGATGGTTTTACCCTCTAAGGGTCTGTTTAAAACTGAGTCCGTGGCTCTGACGGAAAAGCCAAGCTCAAACTGGGAAGCGGCACTCTTGACACCGCCACTCTGGCTTATAAAGAGGAGACTGAGAGGCTGCCTCCATGCGCCCTGCTTTCCTCTCCCCAGCACGCAGCTTCCTCCCAAGAAGTGTTCTTGGCGCGTCCATTCCTAGCAGGGCAGGCAGTGGGTCGACGTGCTGACGTGCTGCAGAGAGCCCGTGTCTTCCATTTCCTACATAAAACTGCCGGTTTTAGTTGCGGCACATTGCTCATGAATAGCATCTTTTGCTTCCTGGTGACTTGAAGGAGGTCGATGGTATATGCGTATTTTCTGATTTGGGGGGGGGGGTAGTACATTCTTGGTCCATGGGGAGTAAAGGATGGAATCCGTTAGCATGGTTAGATTTGGAACGAATGACTGGCACGCTTAGCTTTGTTTTATTGAGACGCTGCATTTTCTGTTTCACAGGGAGCAATAGAAAAGGTGAAGGAGAGCGATAAGCTAGTGGCCACTAGTAAAATCACACCACAAGACAAGCACAGTATGGTGAAGCGGGTCGGCACTATGTCTTACGCACTACAAGGTAAGGAACGGGCTCGTGGGTAACTGAGACCGGAAAAGGACGCTACTGCCCCGCATCTCTGCCCCACAGGGCCTATGAGCCAGAACCGGTGGCGTGGCTGTGGGACTTGTTTTACTTTGGGGTCACATGTTTTGGGGAGAAGAGAATGAAACATATTTGCAGGTTTTTCCAAGAAACAACTGGGGCATGAATGGGAGCAAGAGCAGGTCCCCAGCATTCGGGAGCCACCAGCAAAGGGGGGAACTGATTGGCGCTTTGCATTTTCAAAAGGTTTGAAATGGGAAGTCTGGGGTTGGATTTGATTGTGAGAGTATCCAAGTCGGTGAATAGAAAGCCTTTTGCCACTTTGAAGAAGAGTAAGACAGAACTAGAGAGACGGTGAAAAAGAGGAAGACCCTCCCTCGTCCGATGACGCAGTGCCTGCAGCGGTGGGCTCAAACCCTACAACAGTCGTGAGCGCGACTCAGGACGGGCAGTGCTTCGTTGGACGTGCGGTCGCCGTGAATCGTCGAAGACGACGGTCTAAACTCAGAACCACTCACCTGTGCCAGCAGGTGGCTTCCTGTACCTCTGTGTAAAGTAATGGACAGGGTCCAGCATCATTGTGTAGCGGTGAAGGCTGGTGGCCACCGAGAGGGATGGACCCGTGTATCAGCAAAGCGAGGGCGGCGCCTACCAGCTCCCTTCCTCTTGCTGCTGAGAGGTGGGGTCTGCCTGCCTGTCTTGGTCGGGGCAGCCTCCTCTGCCCGGCCTTCCAAGGGGACCTCAGAGGGCACGTGGTGGCAGGTCACCGTGACGGGCAGGGCCAACTCTGCGTCCTACCTGGTCTTCCTCGTTGGAAGGAGAGTCTGTGGTTGCTGCTGTCACGTGCATGGATGGGGTCTGGAGGTGTGGACCGAGCAGCCAGTGAAAGTCACCATTGGCCGGGAAGCGTTCTCTTGCCCTCACCTTCCTCCAGCTGCTTTTGAGCCTCTGTGTCAAGGGGTCAGCCTGGCAGCCCGCGGCTACGCTGGCACAAGGCCTCGGGACATACTGACTGGTTTCTTCTTTGGTTGCAGCGGAGATGAATCATTTCCATAGTAACCGGATCTACGATTACAACAGCGTCATACGCCTGTACCTGGAGCAGCAGGTACAGTTCTATGAGACGGTAAGTCTGCGCACACCCCTCCTGGAGCGGGGTTCTCGGGAGGGTGCTCCTGACCACACCCTGTGACTCCGTTCAGGTGAGGTTCTCAGTCTCGGTTGGGCACATCGTGTTTTCCTATTTGAAAAGCCGTGGTTGTTATGAAAAGCGTTTTTCTGGGGAGAGACAGTATCGGGTCCTGTTCTGAGGCCCCTTGGAGCCTGATTTTGCCCCCTCACCCCACCCACTCCGTGCCTCCTGAGAGCAGCATGGGCTCCTGTGGGCGCTCTCTAACTGCCACAGCGGGAGAGTGGTAGCGCCCTGATGGTAAGAGTTCCTCAAGACAGCGCTCAGGAGCCCGGACCTAATGTCTCCACAGCTGCCCTGCAGAAGAGCGGGAGCACCTGGGTGTTTCCATTCAGAAACCAGCCGTGGGACCCGCACTGCCAGTCTGGCTCCAGGAGCCACGAGTCAGAGTGCCCTCTGACTGCACACTGTATCATGCGCCCGTGGCCTGCTTGCCTCTCAGCGCAAATCAGAACCACTGCTGGTCCTTGTTCTGTAGCTCAAAACCGAAGCGGCCCAGCCAAGCCCTGCCTTTGCATACCTGTGCCCGACTCGCTGGCATGGCCACGTGTCAGAGGCCAGCGAGCCCACTTTCCCCAAAAAGTATGCACACGCTGGTTGATGGTGCTGCTGTTTGTGTCAAACACGGTTCTGGTCACGTGGAGCCAAGGATGCCTCGGGTCCCTGGAGGAAGAGTAGGGGGTCTAGCAGGTCCTTGAGAGCAGCCCAGAGAGCAGCCTGGGTCAGGCTTGCAGACTGGCCAGGCCCTCGGAGGAGCAGGGCCTCAGGCACCATTGTGGGATGCGAGGAAGGCTCTCCAGCAGCAGCAGCAGCCCCAGCCCCAGGGATGAGCTGCCCGAGGCAGGGGCCTTGGGGTGGGAAGGAAGGGCACCTGCCCCCGTGCTCAGACATCCCAACCCCCCTCTGCCTTCCGCAGATTGCAGAGAAGCTGAGGCAGGCCCTCGGCCGCTTCCAGGTGATGTAGACCAGACCGACGCGTGCCTGTCTCCGCTCGGGCGTGTGACGGGAAGTCGTCATTCTCCCGCGAGTGCGAAGGGGAGACAAGGGAAGAGGAGAAGAGTGGCCAGCGCAGGTCTCTCCTCCCTGAGGCCTGAGCGCCCAGCCCGCCGGCTCTGTCTGCAGCCGTCATGATACCAATGGAGACAGTGCCTATTTTTGGAATATACTTAAATCTCGCAGGATTTTCAGATGGAAAATTTGGTATTTTACAGAGCCTCCTAATTTATAGCCCCCACCTCACCCCTATCCCATCTCCCAGTTGGTATCCAATGTCAGACACTTACTAATTACTTTCTTACAAATAAGAAATCTGCCAGAATAAAAAACATGTATGTATGTATGTATATTTTTATAACGCTCGGTCCTCTGGGATCCGGTCTGTTGAGGACATTTGGTCCACCTTCCACTGCCTTCCATGTTTGGGATTTAAGGGCTGACCTTGACGCGCGAGCTTCCCGCCCGCCGACCTGCCTGGCTCTTACGTAGGACACAGTATGCCGCTCTGCGAACTGGCGACCAGGCTGCCTGGTTTCTTCTGCCTCTTACCCTCCGCAGAGAGATTTATCTCTGCTATTAGCCAGAGGTCAGCGGTTCAAACCTGCCACTCACTCTCCCAGTGCCTTCTCTCTCTGCACCTCCCACCTCACCAAGTGAGGGCCCACTTGCACTAGAAAGAGTAAGTCAGAAAGGCACTGCGAGCATGCTGTGCCCTGGAGTTGACTGTGGACCAGCCGGTCAGCTGGTCTCTTCTGAAAAGGTGAGAGAGACCCCAGTTGAGGGAGGAAGCTTCTTCCCTCCCCACCAAAAAGGAATTGCGAGGGCCCAAGGGACTGGTGGCCCCAGGGCTTTGAGGTTTAGGGACAAGCACATGTGTTGATTTTTCTGGCCCAATCCTCAAGTTCAGAGCGTTCTCTCCCGACTGCTGCTACTTCAGTGACCGCCACAGAGCGCGCAGTCTCACCCACTGCCTTCCTCACAGACCCCCACCCCACGATGCACAGCTGCCTTACTGCATAAGCTCCCACCTAATCGTTAGACTGCAGACACAGGAGCGCCGGGCCGGGAGAGTAAGGTGAAACCAATCACCTAGACACGAAGTCAAATGAGCATGCAGGTGTGGACGCCTTTTCCTCCGTCTCACGGGCTTTGTTAATGTCTTCTAGGTAATTCACCCCCACTTGATTTTTCTTTTATAAAGTCCCCTAGATCCATGTTTATGATGCAACCCTTTAATATGTGTACAAATTGTAAAGAATATGTATAAATGTTTTACACAAATGTAAGCACATGTAGAAGCCAACATATAAATAAATTGTTTTAAAAAACAATAACTACAGTAAATTCTCAAACACTTTGTGGTGCTCTTATGCGTGTGTCTTTCCCTCCCTTGTTAATTGCTTCTTATTCGCTGATGGAAAGAGCCCAGGCAATGAATTTCTCCTTAGACAAGTGATACGGTACATCGGGGAGCCCTGGTGGGCAATGGTCATAGATTAGTTTGAAGAAGGACTTGGCCTTCCGCCCCGTAGAGCGACAGTCTCAGAAACCCACGGGCAGCTCTCTGTCCTGTGGGGTGGCAGTGAGTTTGACATGGTTGGAGTTCAGGGGCACGTGACGGGGCCCACCCAGCATGTGTCTCCAGATTACTCTGAGGATGAGGCTGGGAAACAGGAAAAGGTGAGGCTGTGACGAGGACTGGGAGCCAAGTGCAGTGTGAGTTTGGAAGAAAATACAAGGCTGTTGATTCTCAGGAGCTGCACCACACCGTCAAGCGGCAGCATTTCAGTGCTGTCTGTCTCTCTGAGTTCAGACACGCTGCTTGCTCTTCGAGGCGCTGTTCTGGTTTCCAGTTCTTCGCACTTTGTGCCAGCACAGAAGAGGCATAATCTCAGAGTGGAGCCTCACCCTTACCGATTTTGACGTTGTAAAAGTAACATGTAAAGATAGAGTGGAAGAAAAAGATAAATTCACTGGTTGCATCTGCAGGAGACAGAAGCCGCAGGCCTTGCCTAAAACCCAAGATGGTAAAGGAGTAAATTTAAAGCCGTTGACACACTTAACTAAAATACCCACTGTCACTGTAAACTTGGGAGGTGAAGGAGGATTTGAGATCTGAGGACCGGATCATGCCTACTACCTCATCTTTCATAGGAGCTCAAATGTAACACAAGTGTTTTCAAGTCACGGTGGAGCTTCTTCACCATTCGGTGACACGAGTTGACACACGTCTGAAGACCTTCCTTCCAGGGAAGAAACGCCTCATGAGTTAAAGGCATGAATTGTGAGTGAGGAGCCGTGGGCTCTAATCCCACCCCTGATACCAGTGTGCCACATTGAGCCATCCACTGCTCTGAAGGCTCCAGTACCCACTGTAGGGACACAGGGTGAGAGTGGACCTTCTCTGGAGCCTCTCCAGCCCTGGGGTCCACAGAGAGGGCCACATCCGTCTCCAGCCTTCAGAAGTGGCTCAGCCAGATGGCAGCACCTCGCGGTCAGCCAGTTCTGGGGCATGTCCCAAGTGACCCTCCTATGCCACCGTCAAGGGCAGGGTAGGGTAGGTCCCAGAACTCTGCTTTCATCCCTCCGAGACTTGCCAATTCAGGAGTAAGAACTGACCACCTGGTTGCACCTGCTGCTCCGAGCACCTAAGAGAGGAGCTAAGGCAGGCGAAGAGCAGGGGCCATAGGGAGGATGCCGAGAAGCCTTGTTTTTCCCACGGAGCGTCTGTCTCAACATCATCAGCACTAATCGACTCCCACGGCAGTGAGTGAGTTGCAGTGCGGCTTCCAGCCTTCTCAAACATCACTGTTTTCATAAATGAAATGCAAGAGCAGGAGAGCCACTCGTGAGCTCCGAGCCCCCCAGCTCGAGACGTACCAGGCATCGGAAAGGATCCTCCCCAAGCAGACAAGCCTGTTAGGAATTGGAGAATGTCCCTAGAATAGACACCAGTGAGGCTACAGGGAAGAAAAGTGGGCCTCCCCAGGACTGGGGAGGGAGTCTTCACTCTCGTGTGCACATTTTTGTGGCCTTCCCAGGTCAATTTCTGGACAGCGTGGGGCCAGAGAAGTCAGCCCAACGATGTGAGCTGACTATTTGAAAAGAAAACCCAACTTCCTGGGATGCACTTTGGCTGAAAGAGAACCACAAGCAGGTAGGTAGGTGACGGGTGCAAGGAGGCCTGTTGGGGGTGAGCCCGATGTCAGCCAATGGCAGGGCCTCGAGGAAGTGGAAGGACAGTTAAGCATCTGTAGGCTGGATAGGGGGCGTGTCCCTAGGACCACATAGAAGCCCTCACTGCCCCTCCATTATCCAGATAAGGGAGCAATTCCAGGCGACATTCAATTCATCCCTGCATTTAGTGCATGCTTTCTAAGAGGATGGGGGAACGGGGTCAGCCATGGGGAGGGCTGATAAACTGTTGAAGGCAAAAACGATGGTCTGATATGTAAACCCCCTCTTGGCTCCCAGTAAAAAGGTTTTCTATGGAAAGGATTCTAACCAATACCTCAAAGCCCTATGGGGGGGAAAAATCCCCAGTAAAAATAGTTTCCCTGCGCCAGTTTTGTGGTATTTTCATGTTACGATTTTGCTCGCTATGCCCTACATGGTTTGGCGGGCAAAGGCCTAGAAGTCATTGTGATTCTGTGTCATCGAATCGGCTCCATGTGAATGAGTGTGAGTTTGACCGCCAGGAATCTAAGTCTTTTCAAGTGCTGTTTGTAGACCTTTGGAGCAAACGGCCACCTTTCATGTGCTGTGCAGACACGCTCGACACTTCTTGACTGGATGCTGGAGAGTGTCCATCTTACCTTGGGTGCCAGGTTTTGTTCTCCTGGCTTACGTAATACTGGACTTTTTTCCCTTTGGTGTGCACATCAACTAAGATTAGCTTGGTCAGTTCAAGGTTTGCATTGACCCTGCAATGCATGAGACCAGAGCCTCGGTTGTGTTGTTGTCTGGTGCCATCCAGCCGGCTCCGACCCACAGCGACCATATGCACAGCAGAAGGGACACTGCCCAGTTCCATGCCGTCCTCCCAGTGCTTCCTGTGCCCCAGCACACTGACACAGCCCCTGCGCCCATCCATCTCATTGGGGACCTTCCTCTTTCACTGCCCCGCCCCCTTACCAAGCCCGAGGCCCTTTCCCGGACTGGTCTCTCCTGACACTAGCTCAGACTTTAGGCCTAATGGAGCACCCTCACCAAGGCACTGCCCTCTGAGAGCACTCCCAGATGTCCCATGTGGTGTGGGCGCTACACTCTGACTCTATGAACTATTTCCACCTCTGTGTGTTCCAGAAATGGTTTGTCCTGTTGGTTTGCGGTCAATCTACCCGTGTCCTCTCCTTTCCTCAGTCTCTGAGGGACTCTTCTACAACTGTCCAGAATTCTCTCACCCAGCCCCTCCGTGTACCTCCTATCTCTCCTGTATTCTTCCCTTCACACGCCAGACCCCCCGAACTCTAATCTCTTATGTCCTAGTCAGTAAGACCACCGTTTGCTGCTCACTCTACCCCTGTGTACCAAGCCAGGGAGCTGCATCTGGGGCAGGGATTCGGGCCTATGCTGAGATTTACCTTGCTGGCCTGCTCTGCCTCTTCTCTAGTGTCTGAAGCCAGTGGTCAGAGGCACTGTCCTGTTTTCTATTGGTTTCAGGTGAGGAATAGACTGGCTGCGTCAGGGCTTGCGTTAGTCTGGGTTGACTAGAGAAACAAATCCAGAGACAGACACAGGTGTGTAAGAGAGAGCTTTATATTACATTAAAACAGCCCAGTCCAGATCAAGTCCATACGTCCGAAAGTAGCCTATATGCCCAATACCCATCCATAAATTCCTCTGCAGACTCACACAGCACACGCAATGATGCCGAATGCGGAAGATCAGAGGCCAGTGGGTGGAAAGTTGCAGATTCATTTCAGCACTGGGGCAGCTCTTCGTGTGCCTTCTCCAGCTCCAGGGCTCTGGCTGCCATCAGCTTGGCTCCATGTGGCTTGTCAACAGAATGTGAAGCAGAGAAAGTGTGTGTCCCGCCCCCAGGGAAGAAGTTCCCAGAATCCTCAGAAAGCCACGCCCACGCAGAGACCTCATTGGCCATGACAGATGGACAGGCTAGACTCCACCCATTCGCTCAGATTGACAGGAGATGTTTAACTGCATCAGGGCTGAAAGTGGGAGTCCCATCCTTTTTCTCTCAGAGCTAACGTAGGGGTAGTCTTCCCATTCTTAGGAAACATCTTGGCACACACATTCCTCAAAGTTTATTCTTACTTAAGCGTGCTTCTCGAGTCTGGAGTGATGATGGTTTATCATCATTTGGTTGCAAACTCTGGTCCCCCTGGAACATCCCACCGCCACATCCCCTAAACCATGTGGCATGCTCCGGCCAAAGCAACTTCACTGGAAATGACATAGACTTCCAGGTGAAGGCCCATGACTGCTGGCTCTCGGGGCTACAACTCTGCTCTCCCTCCCCAAGATAAGAACAGGAGTAAGTGTTGATACCAAAACTCGGAGCAGCCTGGGAAGCTGAGCCAACAAGCAGAGCCAAGGTGGCCTGCACAGCTCCTCGGACCCAGGCAGAATTTGCAAGAGCAGGAAATACTCTTCTACTCTGTGCGGCCATTGAGATTTTGAAGTTGTTCATTGTGCAGCACAAGCTAGCCTGTCCTGACCAGGGCAGCCCTATTACCCTTAGACCCGGTCTGTGGGTACACCCTGGCTTTACACAGATGCCGAGAAAGGCGTTGCCTCAAAGGAGCAGGAGGATGTGAGAATGTCGCATAGGGCACCCTTGGCAACCCACCCTCAATTGAAGGACAAGAGCTAGAAGCGAAGCAAAAACTTATAAAAACAAACACGAGGGCACTTCCCTGGGAGTTCTTCTCGGGAGATGGAATTCCTTTCGTCGGTGTGTTCAAAAAATCCCAGAAGGCTCAATCCATTACTGTTCAGAAGGCACTAGTCTTCCGTGGCATGGACCTAAGAGAGAATGGCACATTCATGGGGCTGGAAATATGGAGAGCAGCCGTTTAGATGCACTGACCCATAAAGCTCGCTTCCACTGAGTCAAGGCCAACTCCTTGTGACGCGTAGGGCAGAGTGGACCTGACTCTGGGTTTCCGAGACTGCAACTCTTCCCTGTAGGAGAAAGCCCTCTTGCTTCCGTGGATTGGCTGGTGGTTTCAAACCACGGACCTGTGGTTAGCAGCCCAATGCCTCACCACCACGGAGAGAGCTACACGAGGAGAAAAACTGGCTGCTGTGAATTCGCGGTGTTCTTTGAAGAACCTTGGTCCTTGAGCCTCTGTTTTCTTTCATGAAGTTTGCTCCGCACTTCCGACAGCAT